CCCTCCCCACCTCTTTTCATTCCTTCCCATTTCCTGGTCTAGGCCAGGGAGAGAAATCAAGCCGTCCAAGCCCCACAGAGCACTCCTACAACCCCGGACAATGTCCAGCTTGTTCAGAGAGTGAGGGAAGAAACACAGCTCCGAAAACATACACACAACCTCCCAATGAAGGGTGTTCTGAGGGAAGAACAGGCGGGCCTTGTGTCTGAACACGAATCCCTGAGGCTCTGGGAAGAGAGGAGCCGGAAAGTCTAGACCCCTCCCCGGAGCGGAGAAGACACCTTGCCCTCTGCCTTCTGGGGAACTATTTCCCAGCCGCCACTGGTCACACGGAGCTTGAACGAGAGCCCCTCACGGTGCCACAGCCTGGAGCCAGAGACTTTCCTTTAAAAGGCAGCATCTAGGTAGAAAAAATCCCTAAGGAGACACAAGGGGCTACTTCTCAGAACCTTGGGATTTTCCAGACTTTCTCCAGTGTGAGGATGACGTGCCTCATGCATTCACCTCATACGCCCAGCAGCACCCATAGACAGCCCTTTCATTTCTGGGGTGACTCGTATATGTAGCATAGGTGGTAGAAAAATGTCACGCTCAATCGACAGGCAGAAACAGTCACTCGGAGTCCTGGGCCCACCCTGCCCCTGCCCCTGGCATTCCTGGATAGGAACACCAGTGCCCTCCCAACACCCCTCCTGAGCCTAGGGACTCCTGGGATGCTCCCGTCGTCCCCAAATCCATCCAGCCCCAGCTAGCAGTGAATGAGCCAAGAGCGACACCTGCTGGGCCATTGGGCTCTGATCGAGCAAAGGTCTGGGAACGCCACGGGCGTTGCTGAAAGCTCCATTCTTCTTTAGTTCCAGATCCTCCATCTGCGCCAAGGTTCCCTCCCTCTGTGATGCAAACACTTCTTAAACCAAAAGGGCAGGGTAGGTGCTGATGCAAGTCCATCCAACAGAACAACTCGGGGAACATCACCAGGCACGCGCCGTGGAGGGAAGGTCAGATGAGGTGTCTGTAATGAGACTGCACGTGTTCTAGGCAGCGGTGCTCCATCTTGGCTGCACCTTAGAACCTTCCAAGCTCTAAAAATCCTGAGGTCCAGGCTGAAGCCCAGGTGATTTCAATGTGCAGCTGAGGTTGAGAGCACTGCTCCGATGGGTCTCCTGTACATTCTGTTGGGTCCTATGCTGGAGTCAGGGTTCCAATTGTGCACGTTTACAGTGTGGTTGTCACAGACCTCTGTACTTACCATGTCAGCTTTCCAGCAGATGACACTAAGGAAGGTTTGTCTTTCTAATCCACATGAAGTCATTGAACTAGCAGGAGAGCTACAGCATCCTAGGTCTAATTTCTCTCCTAAAATATTAATCCATTCATCCCACAGCCTCCTCAAGAGCTCTCTAGGTGAATATCTTTTCCCTGCCATGAACCAGGCCCCTAAATCTTGCTTGAAACCTTGGAGGCTGGTCCATTCTAAAACACACATGATCTCTGGATTTGAAGTTGGTGGCAGGACCAGGTTTCATTAGGAGTGTTGAGCAACTCATCACTTCTCTGGGCCTGGAGGACTGTATTAGTCAGTGTTCTCCAAGGAAACAAACCAACAGGACACATGCACACAGACACACACCCCCCCCCCCACACACACACACACATGCACAAGACAGAGAGAGAGAGAATTATTATAAGGAATGGGTTCATGCAATTATAGAGGCTGGCAAGTACCAAGGTCTGCATGGTAAGTTGGTAAGCTAGACCAGGAGACCTGGCGTGTAGTTCTAGTCCAAGTTCGAAGTCTTGAGACCCACACAAACTGACTGGGGTAGTTTCAGTATGAAAGTCAGTAAGCTTGAGATCTAGGAAGAGTTGATGCTTCAGTTCAAGTCCAAAGGGAAGAAAAAGCAATGTTGTAGCTCAACGGCCATCAAGCACGAAGAATTCTCTCTCTGTCTCTCAGGGGAGGTCAGTCTTTTCTCTCTATTCAGTCTTCAACCGATTGGACAAGACCCTCCCACATTAGGGAGGACCATCTGCTTTATTCAGTCTACTGATTCCAATGTCAATGTCATCCAGAAACACCCTCACAGACATACCCAAAACAATGCTTGACCAAATGTCTGGGTGCCCCGGCTCAGTCAAGTTGACTCATAAAATTAACCATCACAGGAACTCATTGAGATGAGACTTCACTGGCTGAAAGATGGGAAGTTAGGTTTATTAACCTAATGCCTGGAATTAAACTGGGAAACCTGTGAAGGTTTTGTGAGGGAAGAATTCTTGAAGAAAATATCTCACAAACCATGTGCAGCCTCCTCCTCTGGAGATGATTCCAGATCCTTGGGTGTGGAATTATCACTTCGCATCGTATGTCACATGACTCTACTTGACCTCACCAAGCCTTCACTGTCTAAATAATGCCTCTGCCTCCCCTCTTCCAGGTGAACTATGACCACTTTACTCTGGGTTTTCGTGACTCTGAGGGTCATTGCTGCAGCTGTCACTGTAGAAACTCCAGGTGAGGACATTCCTATGCAAGTCTCACGTATTCAGTAGGCATGAGTACTGGGTTTGAGTACTGGGTACTGATCCTGGTGCTACTGGTCCCAGGGATATAATTTCCCCTTTCCTGGCCTTTTCCTGGCCCCACCCTTCCCCTATTGATGCATGCATAACTGTGATGGGACAGCAACCATGCGCGGGCACATGCGTCCAGGAGCCTCGCTCAGATAACACTGCTCCTGGCTGCCCTCGAGTCCCGACAGCTGGCAGGGAGAGCTCCAGGCAGGTGTCCTCCTTCCCTCCATGGATCTCAGTGAGGACTGCTGCACACTGAGCTTGCAGGAGGGGCAGGACATAGACAAACCAGTGGAGAAAGGGCCATTGAGGGAGGATTGGCTGGAGCACCACAGAAGAAAGATCACTTGAGAGACAGCCAGAGAAAAGCCCCAGGGAGTCAGACAGGTATGTGCCTTTTTTGCAAACCATCCTCGGAAGCCCCAGCCTGGTCTCGTGCATGTGGCAGGCGCTGGGTCTACTGCTAATCGAGCACTGGACCAAATGAGCAAACCCTCCACTGACCCTAGGATGGGCTTGACCCCAGAAGGGAAGTTATATCTCCCCTAGGCCCAGACAAGAGAGGACTCTGCTCTTGGCTGTGTATTTTAGAGGCCCCCACTGGCCCTCCTCCAGCCTCAACCCTCTCCAAAGGAAGGGGAGTCAGTAGGGCCAATGTGTCCACCCAAATCTGCACTTCTCCTTTACAGCACATTCTGGGGTCCCAGGATGCCCAGAATTTCCTATCCAAATGGGCCCTGGCCACATCCAGGGCCTGCATGGGTCCATCTTCCTATGGGGACACCACACCTTTGGTGGGAGCCACCCTGGGCCCAAGGGAGGGGCTAAGGAGTGGCTGTTTGTATGGGGTGTGGGCAGACCAGGGCTGTGGGGCTGAGACCAGCACAGCAGCACATGAGACCCCCTCACAGTGCAGTCAGTATGGGAAAAAGAAGGGGGCCCAGCTCCCCATGCTCTCACCCAGTCACTATATCCCAAGGCAAAACACCAAGGAATCCAAGAATTCTGAATCTAAATCTTTTCTTTCCGGTCATTTTGAAAGGTATCATTGTCAAATAGGAAGATAGGACATAGAACTTAACAATCTGTTGGCCTGATTTACAACTTTTGCATCTCTAGACATATGGGACAAGGGCCTTCATTTGTACTGTTGCTGGGAGACCCACAGCCATGCAGCCCCTGGCTGTACCCAGGGGTGGTCTGCCCACACGGGGAAACCAGTTCATTAGGTTTGAGTGAGGCTTTAAAAACTGCTGAGCTGGGCACCACGGTCCCTTTCAGCTCTCCCCTGAGAACCACTACTGCTAAAACCAAGCCATGTCCAGGGTACAAGGGCCCAGCACTCGGAGGAAGATGCCTGTGGAAGGGGCTGGTGGGACTGTCTGGGACATCAGAAGGTTAAGGGCTGGACTCCAAGCATTCCTGGCTCCCCTGCCCTTGCCCTGTGATGTATCTACCACCCACAAATATTTGAAACTTTTTTTTTTTTTGAGACGGAGTCTTGCTCTGTCGCCTAGGCTGGAGTGCAGTGGCGTGATCTCGGCTCACTGCAACCTCCGCCTCCCGGGTTCACGCCATTCTCCTGCCTCAGCCTCCCCGAGCAGCTGGGACTACAGGCACCCACCACCACAGCCGGCTAATTTTTTATATATATATGTATTTTTAGTAGAGACAGGGTTTCCCCGTGTTAGCCAGCATGGTCTCAATCTCCTGACCTCATGATCCACCCGCCTCGGCCTCCCAAAGTGCTGGGACTACAGGCGTGAGACACCGCGCCCAGCCTGAAACATTTTTTATTTCAACCTGTAGGCTCTCCTGAAAGCACAGGTTTCATACATGTGTGAGTCTCCATGAAAGCTGCTTTTTTTTTTTTTTTTTTTGGAAAGCTGTTTTTTTCCCCCCATTCCCAGCAGATCTTTTACTTCTAACAAGATTTGGTAAGCTTGTTGCACCTCCGCTATTGACACTTTCCATTATGTTAACATTTTTGGAGTCTGATCCTACCCCATCGCCTCTCCTGCATCTGACTCTTTGCGCACCAAAATGTCTGATCTTCTCGGCTGCTTCTCCACCCGCGTCCCTCAACTCCCAAACAGCAGAAGAGAGTGACTTGTCCCGGCGGCAAAGTCAGGCTTGCACCCAAAGCAGACCTCCCCAAATGGGACACATCTTGGAAGTTTTCTGTCTCAGCTTTAAAATTGTGTAGATTACTTTTCTACCCCAAAATAATTTTTCCCAAAACCTTTGAGTTAAGCTGTCACTCCAAGTAGATGGGTCCTGTTTTATTCCATGCTTTGATGCCCCCTGCAGTACCCCAGTTTGAGAAACAGGGAGGTGGTCTTGACCCTGACATCTCCCCTGCCCTCCTCTGGAATCCTTTTCTGGCTCCATAGTTTCCTTCTGGAGGTGCAGAGGCCAGGGGTCTTGAGGAACGCTGCTCTGGAAAGGGCGTTGCAAGCCTTCCTGGGGATTCCCACGTGGCACAGGAGCATCCTCATTGTACAGACAGACACACTCATTGGATTTCACTCTCTCAGGAGAGTACATTGCTGGAAGGATGGATGGGGAGGCGGGGTGGTCCTCTCTAGGCACTAACAAGTCTCTCTTCCACCCCACCCCTTTCACACAGACCATGACAACTCGCTGAGTGTCAGCATCCCCCAACCATCCCCTCTGAGGGTCCTCCTGGGGACCTCCCTCACCATCCCCTGCTATTTCATCGACCCCATGCACCCTGTGACCACCGCCCCCTCTACTGCCCCCCTGGCCCCAAGAATCAAGTGGAGCCGTGTGTCCAAGGAGAAGGAGGTAGTGCTGCTGGTGGCCACTGAAGGGCGCGTGAGGGTCAACAGTGCCTACCAGGACAAAGTCTCGCTGCCCAACTACCCGGCCATCCCCAGTGACGCCACCTTGGAAATCCAGAGCCTGCGCTCCAATGACTCTGGGGTCTACCGCTGCGAGGTGATGCATGGCATCGAGGACAGCGAGGCCACCCTGGAGGTCGTGGTGAAAGGTGAGAGCCTCCCACAGGGACAGACGCTGCTTCACCGGCAGAAAGACCCAGAGCAGTCTCTGCAGTGCGGGCGCAGGCAGGCTGGCCTTCAAACCAGCTCCTCCACGCACCTCAGCCAAGTTACTTAATTAACTTCAGCTGCTTCCTCTGTGACATGGATCTGGTAATATCATTCTCTCTGGACTTAGGGAGCATTAAATACTTCCTGGCTATGGTCACAGGTAACTGACAGTTTGTGCTTCCCAAGAATCCTGTGATCCGGTGGGTCTTGTGATCGTGCCCATTTTACAGACAAGCAAACTGAGGTCAAGTGACTTGCCTGAGGTTACCCTGGAAATGAGTCAGAGCAGTCTCCTGACAGCTCATCCTGGTGTCTTTTCCCTCCCCTTCTCCACTCTCATTCTCAGTTCCAGAAGCCAAAGCAAGGACTGAAGACTCCCTGGTCTCTTTCTCTCTATGGCCCAAGGAGAACAGTCAGGTCCTTGGTTAGCTTCAGGACTTCGGTCAACACCAGATTTTTCCCAGTGGGAGGTACAGTGGGAGGCTCTGTCAAAGACGGTTCACTCCTGGGCACATCGTAAATGGGGTTTCTGCTAGGATGACCCTGGGCTGAGGGTGCAGGGGGTTCTGAGTGTCTCTTTCCCCTAACGCAATATGGGGGTCTTGGAGTGAAAAGAAAAAATTATAAGGAGGCAGATTTTAGTTTAATTCAAAGAACTTTCTCATCAGGATTATCATAAGTCTTCAAAAAGGAATGCTTTGTAAGATAGTGAGCTCCCCATTACAGGGTGTTCCAGCAAATTCAGAAGCATCACATGCAAAGGTGTACAGGGGGTCATGCATCAGCCTGGACCAGCTAGTTCCCTAAAGTCCCTTTGACTATTCTGCGAGGGCCTCGGTGATCAGAGACTGTGCCTGACCAGCTCTTCCGCTTGTGGGCGTGTATGTGTCTTGCAGGCATCGTGTTCCATTACAGAGCCATCTCTACACGCTACACCCTCGACTTTGACAGGGCGCAGCGGGCCTGCCTGCAGAACAGTGCCATCATTGCCACACCCGAGCAGCTGCAGGCCGCCTACGAAGACGGCTTCCACCAGTGTGATGCCGGCTGGCTGGCTGACCAGACTGTCAGGTAAGCCCCAGCCCACCAGCGAGTGGGGGCCAGGAGTCAGGGGCCACAGGGGAGTGGGGCGGGTGCTGGGTGGAACATTGGCCAGACTGAGCTGGTGCCAGCATGACACTGTGGCCAGTCTAGGTTAGGGGCCGTGGTCATACCTTGGCCAAACAGGAGCTCAGTGACCCATCCCAAACCCTTGTTATTGTGATTCTCTCTTGCAAATGGGATGAGGGACTGCTAGCAACCTTGCCCTACACGTCATTTTTTCCTACCCATTTTTTTCTTTGCCATGATTTCCTCACTTTTAAACTTTGGTGTCTTCAGTATTTTTGTAAACAACCTTCCATCCTTTTTATTTTTAATAAAGCAAGACATAAATTGAACCCTTTGGTACATCCTTCCCTGAGTGTAGTTGCTGGGGAGTGAGGTGCGGAGCAGGCCAGATAGACCCTGCCCTCAAGGGATCTCAATGCACTCTGAAGGCAAGATGATATCACCCATTCCAGGAGCACCATAGCTCCAACAGCCAGAACCACAAAGCCTGAAGGCAAGATGATATCATCACTCATTTCGGGTGCACCATAGCTCCAACAGCTAGAACCACAAAGCCTCAGGAAGAAAACAAAGGAAAATGTCTTTGCAGTCTCGGGGTAGGAAAAGAGATCTTAGGATACAAAAACTATAGCCATAAAAAAAAAAAAAAAAGATGAGACAATAGTCTAGCACAGCGCAAGAGCCCACACCTGGGCGGCGTAAAGAACTGGACTCAGCCGGGTGCAGTGGCTTCACGCCTGTAATCCTAACACTTTGGGAGGCCAAGGCGGGCGGATCATGAGATCAGGAGATCCAGACCATCCTGGCTAACATGGTGAAACCCCATCTCTACTAAAAAAATACAAAAAATTAGCCAGGCATGGTGGTAGGCACCTGTAGTCCCAGCTACTCAGGAGGCTGAGGCAGGAGAATTGCATGAACCTGGGAGGCAGAGCTTGCAGTGAGCCGAGATCGTGCCACTGCACTCCAGTCTGGGCGACAGAGCAAGACTCCATCTCAAAAAAAGAAAAAACTAGACTCAAATTCCAGCTCTGGCACTTGGAAGCTGCGTGACTGTGGACAAATCGTTTAACACCTCTGAGCCCCAGTTTCTTCAAGTGTAAAGCAGATTGATGATAGCACCTACCTCATTGGGTTGACGTGAGACACAGATGATATACAGCGAGGCCTAACAAACTATGACCCAGAGGCCAAGTCCAACCCACCCCTTGCTTCTGTAAATAAAGTTTTATTGGGACACAGTCACACCCATTTGCATATCCGTGGGTGCTTCATGGTACAGTGGCAGTTGAGTGGTCACCGCAGAGACTATGCAAAACCTAAAATATTTACTGTCTGGCCTTTTATAGAAAAAAAATACATGAGCCCCTGATAGAGAAAGTGTGTTTTGTACCACTAAATATTGGGTAGTGGGGGCTGCCTTTAATCATGATTCACTGTAAAAATGGATAGGCAGTTGACATATTCAGAAGAGACATGGTCAAATGCAATATTAAGTCACTGTTGCCTCCCATGAGGGAGGAGGATTCAAGGGCAGAGGCCATGGGCTTCCCTTTGTCCCCTGAGTGTCACACCTCTATTTCGGGTTCCTGGCAGATACCCCATCCACACTCCCCGGGAAGGCTGCTATGGAGACAAGGATGAGTTTCCTGGTGTGAGGACGTATGGCATCCGAGACACCAACGAGACCTATGACGTGTACTGCTTCGCCGAGGAGATGGAGGGTGAGCTGCCCTGCCCACCGGGAGGCACCCAGCTCCCTTCCCAAGGCCCCCTTCCCCTCCCCATCTCCCCACTGACACAGGGTGCCAGCTCAGGGCCTGACACACTCCGTCCTCCTCTGCCATGAAGGGAGGTGGGCTGAGGCCACAGGTCTGCACCCCTCCCGCTCCACTTTGGAGAGGGTCTCAGTGGCCCCAACATCTGCAAAATGTCTGGTGTCACCACTGTACCCAAGAGCACGTGTCACAGGAGGTTTCTCACCTGGGATTGCCCCTCCCAGCCGAAACCCTGGCTGCTGTGACAAGCACATCCCTGTTCTAAGGTCCACCATGCTGTCAAAGTCCAGCCCAGCCTTACCCTCACAAGCGACACTACACCAGCAACGAAGCTCCCAGGGCAGGTGGCCACCCAGCGACCCTCTCCCAGCGTCCCTGTGGGCAACCCCAGCTCTGTTCCTGGACAGAGCCGGGGGCGGCAGAGAGAAACCTAGACTTTTTCTGTTTTGTAAAGGGCACTGATTTTGGTCATAGAGTTACCCACACACGTGTATGACACCCTTTCCCCCATCTGCACCCATATACTCCTCTGTACATTCCAGACTCTGCAATGCCTATCTCCTCTCTCCCTGCCCCCCGCTTCCCCCACCTGAGTACAGTGCCCACAGCTCCTCCAGGCTGGGGAGAAGAGCTGACAACAGGCACTTTCTGAGTAAGGGGCCACGGCCAGGCTTTCTCACCACCATAGCCCCCTGCCGCATTCCCACCCCAGGGGGCAGACCTGCCTATTCGGTAACAAGTTATTTGTGTGTTCCCACATTTGGCTAACCACAGACAAATAGAACGGCCAGTTAGAGCTGCCACTGAGCAGGGGTAGCCAGAACCACCCCTGTGAGTGGATGCCCACCGCCCCCACGCTTACCCCTTACCCTTATCCCTGACACAACCTTGTTAGGTTTTGGGAAATTTTTTTAAGCTCACAGTCCTCAAATGATGCCCTTACGGACTCTTCAGAGTCTAGAGACCCCAGTTTGGGAACCACTGCTCCAACGGCTCAAGGTCTGATCCTGCTTTTCCCAGGATAATTTGAGTTTTTTAAAAGGATTTGCCTTGAGTGGGCAATGCTTAACTCCTAGGAAAGATCCCCCTAATGGTGGAATGCAAATGGGGCAAAGAGGCTTTTGAGCAGAATTTTCCTCCCAGATTTTAAGTTTGCTCCACCCTTTGCCCAATCTCTCTGCCATTCTTGCTGCTTCTCTCTTGGTCCCCTTGTTTTAGGAAATTGATGTCATCCTACACAAAAGCCCAGAAATAAGTAATGAAGGGCAAGATCTGAGATACAGACATGTGGGACCAGGACTTTGGGAAGTTAGAGGACTCCCCAGACCTCATGGAAAAGTGTGGATCTCTCTGGGGGTGCAGAGCAGGGGGAGGGGGAGGAGACCCTTACCCAGCTGGCTGTGTCCTTCACAGGTGAGGTCTTTTATGCAACATCTCCAGAGAAGTTCACCTTCCAGGAAGCAGCCAATGAGTGCCGGCGACTGGGTGCCCGACTGGCCACCACGGGCCAGCTCTACCTGGCCTGGCAGGCTGGCATGGACATGTGCAGTGCCGGCTGGCTGGCCGACCGCAGCGTGCGCTACCCCATCTCCAAGGCCCGGCCCAACTGCGGTGGCAACCTCCTGGGTGTGAGGACTGTCTACCTTCACGCCAACCAGACGGGCTACCCTGACCCCTCATCCCGCTACGACGCCATCTGCTACACAGGTGGGGCACGACTGGTGGTGGGAAGGGAGTTCATGCCACTAAAATGGGGTCCTAGAGAACGAGGAGATCTTGGAAAGGGAGGGTTGGTTTTTGCCCTCGAAAGGGCCACTGGGTACCTGAACCCCATGTTTTTAGGACACCCCTCCATTTTCACTGGTTTCTGGGAAGCACTAAGGTAGAGACTCTTGAGACTGCAGCGTATCCAGCCCTGTCTCATCCGATCAGCACACAAGAGGCTTAAAAGCCTCCAAATTGTTTTCTCCAGTTTGAATCAAAGCTCTGTCACCTACTACTGTGCAACCCTGGCAAAGTCAAGGCCGTGAACCTCACTCTTCTCATCTGTCTAGTGGGGAGATGGGGTACCCACCTAGGAAGATGTTGGGGATCAGACATGAGACCCTGGCACCCATGGGAGGGTGCTGCTGTCTGCCTTTTTAAATTGAATGTGTCTAAAAGGAGGGTCAAAAGGGGTTTTGTTGTGTTCTGTTTTTTTGTTTTTCTTTGAGACAGAGTCTCACTCTGTCATCCAGGCGGGAGTTCAGTGGTGCAATCATAGCTTACTGCAGACTTAGCATCCTGGGCTCAAGCAATCCTCCTACCTCAGCCTCCCATGCAACTGGGAATACAGGCACCACCATGCTTTGCTAATTTTTTTTCCTTTTGGTAGAGATGGGGTCTCGTCATGTTGCCCAGGCTGGGCAAAATGTTATTTTATTTTATTATTTTTATGATTTTTGAGACAGAATCTCACTCTGTCGCCCAGGCTGGAGTGCAGTGGTGCAATCTCAGCTCATTGCAACCTCCATCTCCCAGGTTCAAGCGATTCTTCTGCCTCAGCCTCCCAGGTAGACTGGGATTACAGATGTGCGCCATCATGCCCAGCTAATTTTGTATTTTTAGTAGAGATGGGGTTTCACCATGCTGAGCAGGCTAGTCTTGAACTCCTGACCTCAGGTGATCCACCCGCCTCAGCCTCCCAAAGGGAGGCTGTAACTATAATCCCAGCGGGGTTACATGCATGAGCCACTGCACCCAGCCACAAAATGTTATTGAAAAGAGTAGGGGAAAGTTTGATGGGGACTTTATTTTGAAAAATTACACCAAAATGTTCAAGTAAGTTTTTATCTTCCATTTAACACATTTTGGGTTACATGCTATCATAATTACATGCTAATCATAATTACATGCTAATTCTTGGAGGAAAAAGCAATGCATCACATGAATGAGGAGTTGCAAAACTTTTATGGTATAAGTGGTAATAACACAATGATAACTCATTACGTGTTTCATTTCCACAACCTGATCTCACAGGAAGAGGGTTACTTTTGCAACAGTAGTTGGGATTTCCCCCTCGAAGCCTCTCTTAACCTTTTGGTATTCTAACTACTCTTTTGGAAGTAGTATCACTTTCATGAGACCCTCGTTTTTCCATGACTATGAGACAGGCAGTTCTCCAAAGACACCTTCATCAACTTCACAAACTGTGCTTTCTGCAAGATTTTCTGATTTCTCTTTATAACTGCCTTACCTGGTCCTGTTGGTTAGTTATAGCATCAGATGGTTGGCAAGGTGCTCATGAGACGAGTGAAGGAGCAGCTGTGTTGAGCAGGAAGGGATGTTGGGGTGGGAACTGATCTTTATGAGCAGTCAGCTCATTGGTCAATATCTTGCCCTCTGATAGCTCTTGCACTCTTTTGCAGTCTTGAAACTGTGGGGACTCCTACAATGAATGCCAATAGCTGAGTACCCCTGAAATGGGCTTGGCAAGGCGCCTGGCACACAGTGGTGCCCTCCTGCCCCAGCCGGGAAAGAGAAGGAGCCATGCTCATCTCCAGCCCACTCCTCATCCCCCTCAAGCCAGTCCCAGGCTGAGAGGCTAAAGCTTGTCTTTGCCCCTCCCCTAGGTGAAGACTTTGTGGACATCCCAGAAAATTTCTTTGGAGTAGGGGGTGAGGAGGACATCACCGTCCAGACAGTGACCTGGCCTGACATGGAGCTGCCACTGCCTCGAAACATCACTGAGGGTGAAGCCCGAGGCAGTGTGATCCTTACCGTAAAGCCCATCTTCGATGTCTCCCCCAGTCCCCTGCAACCTGAGGAGCCCTTCACATTTGCCCCTGAAATAGGGGCCACTGCCTTCCCTGAGGTTGAGAATGAGACTGGAGAGGCCACCAGGCCCTGGGGCTTTCCCACACCTGGCCTGGGCCCTGCCACAGCATTCACCAGTGAGGACCTCGTCGTGCAGGTGACCGCTGTCCCTGGGCAGCCGCATTTGCCAGGGGGTAAGTAGCTCCCCGTGGGTGCATCCAGGGGCAAGTGGAGAGAACTTGGCCTGCAGGGAAGGGATTCCCGCAGTTGAAGGCTGTACCTTCTACTTAACCTGGCACCTGGGACAATGTTCTCTCCTCTCAGACCTTGCTTTCCTCATCTGTGAAACAAAAACAATAGGCCAGACTATCAGGTCCACACTCTTGCCACCAAGGATTTATTTCAAATGAGGTCATATGTGGAATCCAGTCTCTACATCAAGCGGACACATGTGCCACATAGATCTAAGGGAAGTAGAGTGGAGAACAACCGGGGCTCCTTCTGTCCAGGGCCCCTCCTTGCCCCATCAGACACCCCCACAAAACAGAGCCACTAGAAAACCACTGCCTTGGATGACCCCTGAGGTCTCTCACTGCTCTGACCTCCCAGGACAAAGGCCAGCAAACTGTGGCCAGTGGGCCGGGTTTAGCTGTTCTGATATGGCCCATGACTTAAGAATGACTTTTACATTCTTAAATAGGGGCAAAAAGTCAAAAGAAAAATAATATTTTGTGACACATGAAAATTATATAAAATTCAAATTTCAATGTCCACAAATGAAGTTTGATTGGAACAAAGCCATAGCCATCTGTGGACAAGTTGTCTGTGGCTAACTGAGGACAATCACAGCGGGGTTGAATACAGTCAGTCCTTCATGTCCGGATTCAACCAACCGTGGATGGAAAATCTTCCAAAAGAAAAGGAACAATAACATAACAATACAACAATAAAAGTAATACAGATCTAAAACAATACCGTATAACCACTACTTACATAGCATTGACATTGTTTCAGGTATTATAGGTAATCTAGAGATGATTTTATACAAATAGTACACTTTTATATCAGGGACTTGAGCCTCTGTGGATTTTGGTATCTGAGGACATCCTGGACCCCGAAGGATAACTGTAGTTGTTACAGAAGCCACATAGCCTACAAAGCCTAAAATATTTACCATTTGGCTCTTTCCAGAAAATGCTTCCAACTCCTATTCTAAGATGACAGTGTTCTAGGTGCTTAATACATGTGTGAGAGTTGGATGTCAGGTAGCATAGAGCCCAGTGCTTCCCAAACTCAAGTCTATGAACAAGGACACTCTGGTGTGGCCTTGTTCCATAATGGCCTTGGTGGGGTTCCCACACAGGGGAGGAGCAGATGGACACTGCCATCCACCATCACACCCACATGGCTACCAAGTGGGATTTCAGCTTGCATTGCCCTGATAAATCCAATATGTCAGGCAGCAGAAGTTGGCCTACCCCTGTGCCCATGGAGCCTTGGGAACGGCACACCATGGGTCCTCGAACCTGACTGCTCCCTCTTCCTCTCCCCCTCCTCCCCACCCAGGGGTCGTATTCCACTACCGCCCAGGATCCACCCGCTACTCGCTGACCTTTGAGGAGGCGCAACAGGCCTGCCTGCGCACCGGGGCAGTCATTGCCTCACCAGAGCAGCTCCAGGCTGCCTACGAAGCAGGCTATGAGCAGTGTGACGCCGGCTGGCTGAGGGACCAGACCGTCAGGTGAAGCCATGCTCCTCACCCAGCCCAAACCCAGCTGAAGAGGTCAGGCTTAAGGAGCCACAGACTGGCACGGCCCCCAGCACACTGAGCACCCAATACCTTGTGGGTTAATGAATTAATTAGTGACTCAACTGAGGCATATCCCAAAAGGGTGATGAAGGGCACTGGGTAATGTTCAGTTCTTGGTCATTTCTCCCCATCAGACAGAGGCAGCAGCCCCCTCCTCAAGTGCCCCGTTCCCCTCCAGCCTGACCCAGTGCCCTTCCATGCAGCTGCTCTCTCCTGAAGCCAGAAATCCCCCAGGAGCCACCAGACCTTTCCCCAGGCTGCCCAGAGAACTTGCTGCATAAGGGGCTTCTTCCTAGTTTGAATCCCACCAGACAACTGAAGACATACCAAAGTCCCTGAGTGGCCTCTGGCCTCAGCCCAGGGCCCTGCATCTACCAGCCGCCGAAACAGGCCTTCATCTTCTCCTCCCACTCCCCTTTGCAGATACCCCATTGTGAGCCCACGGACCCCATGCGTGGGTGACAAGGACAGCAGCCCAGGGGTCAGGACGTACGGCGTGCGCCCATCAACAGAGACCTACGATGTCTACTGCTATGTGGACAGACTTGAGGGTACAGCCACATTCTCACATTTTGGGCCCTAGATGGGCAGGGGGTGGGCAGGGGGCTGACAGGGTGATACAAAGAAGAGAGGGGGTTACCACACACCCACCCACCCCTGATCCCACCCAGCTTTCCAGGTGGGAAAGGGTCCTGCTGAAAAGGAAGGCCCCCAGGCCCTCCCTCAGATCCAGCCCCAGCTCTCCTACTGAATGTTTCCTGTGGTCTCCTCCGGCATTGCAGGGGAGCATCCGTCCCTTTAAAAAGCAGTGAGGTCTGTGGGTAAATCTCAGTTTATTATAAATAAACGCTATATACACCAACTCCTTCTTGGAGATGCCCAGTGCCTGGGCACAAATCAAAGGCACTGAGAAGTCCTGCAGTAAAAACAAAAACAAAAACAAAAAAAAAACCTCTTTAGGTCGGGCGCCATGGCTCACACCTGTAATCCTAGCACTTTGGGAGGCAGAGGTGCCTCAGTGTGGGTGGATTGCTCTAGCCCAGGAGTTCGAGACTGGCCTGGGCAATGTGGCCAAACCCTGTCTCTACTTATTTAAAAAGAAAGAAAAAGAAAAACTTTCTTAACTTTCTTTAACTCAGCATTGCCCAATTTTTAACCACAGACCTTTATTTTGTTTTATTTCATTTCTTTCCATTTCCATGAAAATTACCAAATTTCCACTGAATGCAATTTTGGAAATGCTGGTATTCCAGAAAGATCTTGGCATTGCCACTCACTTGTTTCAAGACCCTGGGCAAGTCACTTAACCTCTCTAAGCCTCAGCTCCTTCATCTATAAAAATGGGACTCATTTATATGTACATCAGAGGTTTTTTTGAGTATTAAATGAGATATGTATGAAAAGTTCTTGGCACAAGTAGGTGTTCAGTAAATGTAAACTCTCCTAGCCCTGAACCGGATAGATACCAGGTGCATTACTAGGTGCTGCGACCCAGCCCTACCCTGGATGAGTTCCCAGGGTGTGGGATGGGCAGGTCCACAGCAGTCACAGTGATAAGTGCAGTGGTATAGGGATTGGAGGGGGCCCAGGTGAGCCGCCTTGTTTAGCCGAGGAAGGGGATGCCTAAGTGTGACTGGAGAATCCAGAAAAGAGGGAAGGAGGAAAAGTTGTTGTGGAAACAACTCAGTCCAGTTTGACTGGAATTTTGACTTTTTTGGCACTGAAAGTCCTGTGTCCCAGGATAGCCCAGTCCAGTACAAACCAGAGCGGTGGTCACCTATTTCCCAGGGTTCCAGAAAATCTAAGGGAGAGTGGTCAAAGAAGGGGTGATGGAGCTGGGCTGAGTCTTAGCCCTGGTAAGGAGAGTTGGAGGAGCTCTGTCCTGGGTGGGCAGGGATTGACCTGGCCTGAGTGTGGGGGGGTCATATCCTACCGCTTGTCTCTGCCCCCAGGGGAGGTGTTCTTCGCCACACGTCTTGAGCAGTTCACCTTCCAGGAAGCACTGGAGTTCTGTGAATCTCACAATGCCACGCTGGCCACCACGGGCCAGCTCTACGCCGCCTGGAGCCGAGGCCTGGACAAGTGCTATGCCGGCTGGCTGGCCGATGGCAGCCTCCGCTACCCCATCGTCACCCCAAGGCCTGCCTGCGGTGGGGACAAACCAGGCGTGAGAACGGTCTACCTCTACCCTAACCAGACGGGCCTTCCGGACCCACTGTCCCGGCACCATGCCTTCTGCTTCCGAGGTATGCAGCCTCGCCTCGGCTCCAGCAGCCTCTTTTGTCTGGAGACCTGGGTTCACCCCGTCCTGCCACCACCCAGTTTCCCATCCATCAGCGCAAGAAAAAGTCAGTCCCTCTGGCGCAGAACCAGCTCTGAAACCAGCACAGCGCAGGCTTTGACCCCAAGGCAAGGTCATCCTTCTAAAGTTCCCCAGAGACAAGTAGAGATAAATAAGGGCTTGAGCTGGTGTTTATCTGTACTAGAAATGAGGCAGACCTGAATCTGAGTTATGGTTCTGCTACTTAATAGCTGTGTGAAAATGGAGATATAATGGTTCCTACCTCAGAGAGAGCTGCAAGAATTAATTGAGTGCACGTGGTGCCCTTGGCATAGTGCCTGGGACACAGTAAATGCTCAATAAATGTTTGCTTTATTTCGTATACTTATATATCTGTAAAGCTGTAATATACAGCTTTATTTTATACAACCTGTAACTTGAACATCCTTGTCAAATTCTCTCCTGCTTGCAAATATTTTTGTGATGAGTTTAGTCAAATTATTCTATTATTCTTCACTAAGCACTGATGATTCATGTTTTTTGTTGACCCATGCTATGGATATGCTACCATTTCAACCATCACTCCCCATTGGACTTCTGAGAGTGGTGTCATCAAGCAATATAATAAGCATGGCCAGACCGCAGCCAAGGAATTGCTGGGCTCTGATTAGATGAGTTCCTGCATAGTCCATGGAGGGTCTGGGTGCATGGACCAGAATGTAGATTGTAATAACAGCCTGTGCCATGTTTTAGATAGTTTACATCAAAACTATTTTGCAACTTCCTGTGCAACTTCCTGTGAAAGTTGCAAAGTGTCTTTGTCTTCCTGTGCAAAGTGTCTTTGTCTTCCTGTGCAACTTCCTGTGAAGTTGCAAAGTGTCTTTGCAACTTCCGGTGAATCTATAATTATTCTCAAATAAACTTAAGGGGAAAAAACTTGAGTGTCCCCAAGTTTCCCAGAAATCCAGGGTCACTTTTAAAACCCAATTCAAGGCCAGGAGCAGTGGCTCATGCCTGTAATCCCAGCACTTTGGGAGGTTGAGGCAGGTGGATCACTTGAGGTCAGGACTTGGTGGTGTGCACCTGTAATCCCAGCTACTGGGGAGGCTGAGGCAGGAGAATCTCCTGAACCCGAGAGGCGGAGGTTACAGTGAGCCAAGATTGTTCTGCTGCACTCCAGCCTGGACAGCAGAGCAAGACTCTGTCTCAAAAAAAAAAAAAAAAAAAATCGAAATTCAGCCCCACTCAGCCAGACTCTAAAAATCAAGTTCAATTCTCTCCCAGAGGCTTTGATGAGGCTCTTGTACCAGTGCCCGTCTCCCTGCTCTGGGAAGCAGAAGCCAAGCCAGTTAGCCTCCCAGGAAGTTCCCAGCCATGCTACCCCCAGCCGCCCACTCCTGACCCTCCGTGAACTCAGCCTTGTATATTATCCTGCACAGTTCAGCTTCCTTGCTGACCATTCCCACTGCTGGTCCCCCCACGCCAGAACACTTACCCCCAGCCCATGAATCCTACCTTCACACTTTCAAATGCCGAGATGGTTTCATGGAATTTAAGCACCATCCTCCTATTTTTAGTCCTGACACACTTGGAACATAATCCCTCTCCCTAAGATCGGCAGCATTGTTCAGCGGTTGAGAGCATGGAGTCTGGCACCAGATGCTTGAATTCAAAGACTAGATCTGCCATTTGTAAGCCATTGACCCTGGGCAAATCATGTAACTCTGTGCCTCAGTTTCCCCATCTGTAAAATGAGATTAATCATATCTCTCTCATAAAGCTGTTGTGAGATAAAGTGATTTTATATACATAAGCCTTTATAGCAATGCCTGGCATGTATGATCGATTCTGCAGGGGAGATGACCCAGATCACCGGAACTAAACTGCTGATGGTGCATATGGATAGTGTATCACTGGTGCCGATGGCTCTTACTAAGCGAGAAGGCAAACAGCCATCCGCTGAACTAGGTGGTGGGGCCTGGCCCACCTCAGAGTCCCCTAGCTCTCTCAAGAAGGGCCAGCCACGGACGGGTCACTGGTAAAAGAGGGACTCACTCTCACTACCCACATCTCCTTTAGGGGTTTCGGCGGTTCCTTCTCCAGGAGAAGAAGAGGGTGGCACACCCACATCACCCTCTGGTGTGGAGGACTGGATCGCTACCCAAGTGGTGCCTGGTGTGGCTGCTGTCCCTGTAGAAGAGGAGACAACTGCTGTACCCTTAGGGGAGACTACTGCCATCCTAGAGTTCACCACTGAGCCGGAAAACCAGACAGAATGGGAACCAGTCTACACCCCAATGGGCACATCCCCGCTGCCAGGTTGGTATGGTTTGGGTTCTGGGGCACACCCTGAAGCTGCATGCCCCTGTCTGCCTACAGTGTGCCTGGTGGGGTGGGAGGTTTCCCTCCCTGGGATTTGTGCTGTTTCCCCAGCCATGACACCGTCTGGGTGTGCTGCTGTGGGCAACTTTAGCCACCTCAACTGGCCTCTAGGACCTGCCCCAGAGTGACAAAAACAGCCTTGTTCATAAAATGCTTCTATACACATTTACTGTTCTGGCCCTTATTTCCCTTGCATGAACCCCCAAATGCCCAGGACTGTGCTGATCAGAGGGCCCTCAGTTACCTTGTCCTCTTTCACTGACACCCTTACCCTAACTTCAACCCTCTCTTGTGGGAGAAAGAACCAGGGAGGGGGTTACTGTTGGAAGTCTGACTGTGACCTGTCTCCTTGCCTTTCTCCTCCTTCCATGTCCCTCTTCTGGGCCAGGCCTCCTCAGCCAGAACTTCCTGAACTCCATCTGTCACAATTAAACCAGATGATACTTAACAGGATGAAAGCAGCGTCCCTAAACCTTGTTGGATAAAGTGTTTTGTGGCCACTAAGATTTGGGAAATGCTGGCTTACAGAGATTAACAGGTTTCCTCACTGCAGACCTTCTCAGAGTTTTGAATATGCTAATACGCACTGTAAATCTCCAAGAGGAGGTGATAGATGTGGTGTGTCCCAAATGAACCTTACCATAGAGCATTGTTAGTATCTAGCAGCTTCCAGTTGGGGTAAGCTTAATTTAAAACAATGTACAGTAGTATATGTGTATACCTGGTAGAGTCGGTTTCCCTGGGGGTATGTGCATCTGAAAAAAGGAGTGTATCCAAGCTCCCACTAACTCATCCAGCCATGCATCAGCATTCTGTGCATGGTTCCAGAGCAATCTGTTGGTGTCAGGCCCTCTTCTGGGCATTGGAGATGCAAAGCCTGGCCTCCCTCCATATCAGAAGGTTAGGATGCCTCTGTAGAGCAGGGGAGAGTCTGGCCAGCAGCCTCACCCAGCAGTCACACCTGCCTGTGGCCTTCCTCGCCCTCACCAGGACAAGAATGACTGAGTCCTCTTTGGCATCAGGATATGACTTTGCACAGGACTCTGGCAACCACTAGTGGGGAGTTACCAGTGAGAAAGTGGCTCCAGCAGCCTGCTAGAAATGTTTTCTAGACTTCAGTTCCTGACCACCTTGCTGATTTCAGCCATATCTGGGAACCATCTGCACTTTCATTTGCTCCATGTATTTTTCTTTAAGTTGACTTGCTTTAAAAAAAAGAAATGTAGGGCTGAGTATGGTGGCTTACACCTGTAATCCCAGCACTTTGGGAGGCCAAGGTGGGAGGACCACTTGAGGCCAGGAGTTCAAGACCAGCCTGGCCAACATGGCAAAACCCACTGTCTACTATAAATACAAAAATTATCCAGGTGTGGTGGCACACACCTGTAGTCCCAGCTACTCAGGAGGCAGAGGCATGAGAATCACTTGAACCCAGGAGGTGGAGGTTGCAGTGAGCCAAGATGGTACCACCGCACTGCAGCCTGGGCAACAGAGCGAGACCCTGTCTCCAAAAAAAAAAAAAGAAAGAAAGAAAGAAAGAAATGTAAATTTATTTAAGAGGGAACTGTTATATTATGACTGCACATGGTCATCCTGGTGTGTTTCATAGATAGATAGATACATAGATACATACATACATACATATATACCTATCAAAATAAAAATCATCTTTTTTGGGTCCTGCCCAGCTAACGTTTTTTTTTTTTTTT